CGGGGGGGGGGGCGGGGGGGGGGGGGGGGGGGGGGCTAAAGCCCCTCCCCCCCCCATCCTGATTCATACAGGAACACTGCTGTCTGTTCCACTTCATCAGGGAGTGAGGGGAAAGGGCGCAGTCTGTTGCATTCCTCACTCTGGCAGGGGAGCAGACAAACCTAGACCTGCCTACCCAGGGAACATGCACCCTTCTCTTAGCTGTGTCCCCTGAAGCTGCAGCATGCATGGAGGAGTGCTTCTCACCTGGCCCCAAGCTGCTGTGGTGAGAGATGGCTGAGATAGTCCTCTCTCCCCAGGGCAGCTTTCATATTGAACCCCTCATCTCCAGCCCCACCCTAGAACAATGATTTAAATGAAGCATATACATTTTCACTTTATTTTCTGAAACCCAAAAAATTAATGGAATTAAGGACCTGAGCAATGCCAGGTAAATCTTCTAGTTTTCTCGTAACTTCTAACTTTTACATCCATTGTCTTAAAGTACCCTTTCTTCCAGGTTGTTTTTAAAACTCACGCACCCTTTTTTCCTCAGTTGTGAGATTGTGGCTTTTGGGGCAGCTAGTAAAGTGTTCTTACACACGTCCCAATTATCATCCACGCTCTGAAGAAAGCAAAAAAGAAAAAGCCTCATGCTTCCTCTTAACAATTTGCAATAGTGTCCCTACCTGACACCAGCATGTAAGTGGCACCAGGCACCACCACCCACCAAGAAGCACTCTCCGCTAGGATCCATATGGCACCTGTATCCATCTCTAGCATCTGTGTGGATGGCAGTTATTCAGGACCCCAGATCCCGTGGTACATTTTGCATAAATGGGCAGATCTGCAGGGAAGTATATTTGCAACAGCAGTTCTGATCCTAAGCTTGACCTTCACACTTCAGGTTGATGGCAGCATGAAGCAGGCTGGAATGATTTAAAAGGACCTGCTCTGGCCTGTATTTGAAACAGGGTTGTTGGATTGCCACTTTCCTGGGACAGAAGGAAAGGTTGGATGCTTGAAGAGTAGAGAAATAACAAAGGGAGAGCACAGAGCAAGGCCCCTTTCCTTCCAAAGTCTTAATATCTACCCTATTGGTCAGCACTGGCTAACGTCCTCAGAGTGTAACTGTAGGACACCCTTACAGCAGAACTTACAAACAACTATCAGATGGCCTTAAAAACTATAATTACTGCACCCCAACTGCATAGCCTCTGGAACCCCCAGTGATAATAGATTACAGCACCTCCTACAAGCTGTGGTCAATTTACTCCTAAGGCCCCATATGATTACTTCTGCTGCTGCTGAATCCTCCATGCCTTTTGAGAGCGATGGACCAACCCTGAATGCCAGTGGCTCCCGACATCCACTTTCTCCTAGGCTGAAGCACAAGTGCTTGTGTTATTTGGATGTACAGGCAGTCCCCAGGTTACGTACAAGATAGGGACTGTAGGTTTGTTCTTAAGTTGAATTTGTATGTAAGTCGGAACTGGTACATATTGTAGGGGAAACTCTAGCCAAACATTTCTCCAGAGCTCAGTTTTATTCTCCCACACCTCACTTCCCTCAGGCCTTTATTCTCAAGCTGAGGTGTCTGCTGAGAAAAGCCACTCCGCGTCTCCCTGGTCTGCTGAGGGAGGCGCTAGCTTCACGTCTCCGTGGTCTGCTGGGGGGAAGCAGCTAGTGTGGGGTTGCCTCACCGCGTTTGTAAGCAGGGATCCGATGTAAGTTGGATCCATGTAACCCGGGGACTGCCTGTACTACTCTCCCCTGGGAAAGCAGCAGTGAGGAGCAGGGTGTGGGTGACAGGGCAGCAGTTGCTGTGGGGGTTGGCTGTATTTTTAACTCAGCTGCCTGTTTGGGGTTTCAACAAGAACTTGTATTGAAACAGAACCCTGCACTGCTGCCAAATTGTGTTATTGTGCAGGACAGATGTTGTTATTGCAATCCCCTCCTTCAGCCCCCAGCGCTAACCGCCCTGCATGTGCTGGGAGCCAGCGCAGCCATGCCGACAGATGGGGTCATGGGGTTGAGCACTATCACTTACACCAGAGCATGTGCCTTGCCCCCCTCCCTCCCCCCCCACCCCAAGGGAGAGTTTAAAGGGGCAGCTGGTGAGGAGGGGAATTTTGGTTGTTTCGCATTGCTGGGGACATTATTTCTGTTAGTGCCGGAGACAGGTCAGGTTGTCAGGGGGAGCTGGGCAGTGAAGGCTCCTCTTTGGGGAAAGATCCAGGGACGTTGCCCAAGCAATCCCAGAGAAGGAAGAATTCCAACCACTGTAAGAGCCACTTGATCTACATGAGTCCTCTAAGGTTGATTTCCATTTGGAATCTCAGTGCTGGAGCCCCAGAGCTCTGGGGTGCATCCCAGGACAGGTTTGATCCAAGGCAGGGGCACCTTTTGGCACCCTTGCTCCATAGGACACTCAAAAGAGGCAGACTAGGGCTGTTTGTTGGGGAGACAGGGTATTTCTCTGCCACCATAACATCACCCTGGCATAACTATGAAGAGGTGGTGTTTGGAGCTGGGTATTTTCATTGCTCTGAGAAGGGAGCTGAGTGCAAGCAGACTGTGAGCATGGGGGCAGGGGGAAGATGTGGACAGTCAAAATCAAGACTGTTGGCACTGAGCCATTAAAGAAGCCATTGCTGTGTATAAGATCAATTTTTGGATTTAATTCTTCCCTGGGTTACTCCACAGGCTGCGGTGGGCTACTCAAGGTAGCAAAGTGTTTGCTGGGGCAAGCTCCCAAATCTGACCATGGGGCACAGACTATGCCTCTTTGTAGAAAAGGGGATCTACTTTACTATGAGTATTTTTCTTGTCTTCCTAGATTTTTTCCCACATACAGGCCTTCTTGAGAGTGAGAGCTGCCCAAGGGGAAAACTGTTGCTGAGTTTGCGGTAAGGCTGATTGTCATATACAGAGTTCAGGGCAGAGCTACTGTTAATCGAGCTCCTCTTGCTGGTGGTGTGGGGTCAGATCCTTCAGCTTCTCTTTGGCAGGTGTTACTAGGTTGGGCCTTAGGTTGGACATTAGGAAAAAATTCCTAACTGCCGGGGTGGTTAAACACTGACCTAGGGGGATTGTGGAATCTCTATCATTGGAGATTTTTAAGAGCAGGTTAGACAAACACCTGTCAGGGATGATCTAGATCATGCTTGGTCCTGCCATGAGGGCACTAGACTGGACTTGATGACCTCTCGAGGTCCCTTCCAGTTCTATTATTTATAAATGTACAGGGTGCTTTACTAAGCTAGCATGTTCCCTATTCTTCATGAGAGATGATGAGACCTGCACTAGGCTGTACACTGCCTACATGAAGCTTTCAGTCACTGGTGGCCACTTTTAAAAGTGATATAAGTAAGGATAGTCCAGGGGTTAGGGTACTTACTAGCTAGGAACTAAATGGTCCTAGGTTCAGTTCACACTGACTTCCTGTATGAGGCTATGTCTAGACTGCACTGCTATGTTGGGATACCGGAAGTATCCTGAAATAGCAATGCAGCATCCAAGGAACGCATCCATTGTTTCGGAAAAAATTTCGAAATAGCGGACTCGCTCTTTCACCATCTCTGTAAACCTCATTCAACAAGGAATAAGGGATGGCTTGAAAGATTACTTTATTTCGAAATTTGGTGCTGTGTAGATGCACCAAGTTTCAAAATAGCCTCTTTCGAAATTAAATAAAAAATATGCAATTTGCATACCACAAATTGTGTATCTTTTTTCGATTTTACAGTGCAGTCTAGACGTAGCCTGAGTGTGGGCCTTAGTCCTTCCATTTATAATGTGGGGAGGTAGCCCTGCCTCATAGGATGTTGTGAGGAACAAGACACTAAAGCTTGTGAAGTGCTCAAATACTGTGTTAGTAGGGGCCACAGAAATATATCAGATGGGTGGCCAAAGATCTATTCCTGGTAGGTAGCATTTGCTAGTCCCTTGGGGCAGATTTCCCTGTGCATTGTATTAGAAAATCTACTCCCAATTTTGCTACTATGCTGCATGCTGTGGCCATGGGGAAATTAATGGGGGGAAGCAAGAATAGAACTCTCCTCCTCTTGCTTTAAAGGCCCAGGCATCACTAGACCTAAAGGAGATTTTCCATGAGCAGTACGGGGCCTATGACTCCCA